GATGTACGATTGTCTTACATAAGATGGCACAGTATTTGCCTACAACCCAGGCACATCCTCCTCTATACTTTAAACCACCGCACACAATTGGAGTAGTTAAACAGTTGCCAAATCATCTAGATGATAATTACATGGAAAAGGTATGTATTCATTGCAGGTGCATTCTCTAAGCTTGCCTCCTCCTCCTTTCCCTCCCCCTCCTTTTCTTCTCTATGTCTTCGTTTTCTGGAAAGACATAGGCTTGCTTGCCATGCTCAGAAAAACAACCGCCATGCTTTTTTTTTTATCTTATTACGATGTAGTTCAGTGTTTATTATGTGCGTTTGTTGAGGTAAGGTGTGCACATGTGTGCAGGTGCTCACAGAGGCCAGAAGATAGTGTTGAGCCTCCTGAAGCTGGAGTTACAGAGTCACTCAGTGCTGGGAACTGAACTCAGGTTTTCTGGAAAAACAGTAAGTGCTTTTAACACCTGAGCCATCTCTCCAGCCCTGTACCCCCCCCCCACATATGTGTGGGTGGGGCAACAAAGTAGAAAGCAGACCATGGAGCCATGGAGGAAAGGATGAGCTTTTAAGGGAGAGAGAGGGAAAAGATAAAGGGATGGAACTGGAAAAGGGGATTCTTAGAGAGGAGTCACGGACTATTAGGCAGGTGAGAGCAGAAACGAGGGTGATGAACTAGAACAAAGCACAGTGGTATAGATGTATAAAATGCTATAACATCCAGGCATGATGGCACACATCTTTAATCCCAGCATTCAGGAGGCAGAGGCAGGTATAGCTCTGTGAGTTCGAGGCTAGCCTGATCTACATAGTGAGTTCTAGGTCAGCTTGGTCTACATAGTGAGTTCTAGGCCAGCTAGGACTTCTCAGTTTCAGTTTTGTTTGTTTTTAAGCCATAGCAATGGCCAGCATTTTGCAGCTAACTTTATATTAACAACAAGCAGCAACAACAATGACAGAAAGCCTTGCTCTATAACCCAAGCTGGTTCCAAATTCATGATCCTCCTGTCTCTAGCTCCTGAGTGCTGGGACTGCAGGCGTGTACTGCCCTGCCTGGCTCTTGATCAAGAATGTTCTACCTGTGCCTGTAGAACATCTAGAGCGCCCAGAGCATATGCTCGAGATTTGGTGTTTACTCTGCAAGCCAGGCTGCTTTTCCAGCTGGACTCCGGACCTTCGACAATCAGTTGATGTCTAGCCCCAGCCTGCTCTGTACACATTCACACACCAAAGCTTCTGCTTTAGCCCAATCATAAAGCTGCTCCTGGGGCCTGGGGCAGGGCTCCCCAACCAACCCCTGCAGCTAATGAATGAGATAATTAACCTTGATTGCCAACTTGATGGGATTTAGAGCCACCATGAAGTAAATCTCCAGGCATGTCTGTAGGGGGTTGTCTAGATTACATTAGTTGAGGTGGGGGGCCCACCCTAAACATGGGCAGCAGCATCCCATGGGCTGGGGTCCTGGGCTGAATAAAAAGGAGAAATTAAGGAGAGCATTCATTGCTCTCTGACTTGTGACTGTGGCCGCAACATGACCTCTTGCTTCAGCCACCATGCTGTCTGTGTGACTGTATCCCCAAGAACTGTAAGCCAAAGAAACCCTTCCTCCATGTGGAACAGAATTGAGAGGCTGAATATGCCTGTGGTAAAAGGAGGTTTATTAGACTGGCTCACACAATATGGTCCAGATAGTTAAACAATTGCTGTCTCACACTGGTGAGGAGGAGAACCTGAGAGCTGCCCGGCCCATGAGGCTGGGTGTCTCAGCAGTTCCAACCTGGTGCTAGGCTTGAAGGATTCCTGCAGAGCTGCTGGTCTTCAACCTATGCTAGAAACCCAAAGAAATCAGTTCTGTAACAGCAAAGGAGGCAGCGGTGACAGAGTAGAAGGACTTGCCACCTTCTGGGCCCAAAGCAGTTTCCTTCTTCCAGGTCCTATTATCGAGGCTGCCACCAGAGGGTGCTACCCACACTGAGAGCGAGTCTCCCTGCTTCAAAGGATCTAATCAAGATTAGTCAGTCTCCTGTTAACAAATTGCCCAGTTTTGCATTTTAGTTGGTTCCAGATCCAGTCAAGCTGGCAACCAAGATTGTCACACTCCCCGAAGTGACTTTGTTGGATATTTTGTCACAGCGAAGGAAGAAGAAACAAACACAAGGAACACCTTTTGAACTAGGAGTTGTAGCAGCTGGAGAGATGGCTCAGCAGAGCACTTGCTGCTCTTGCAGAGAACCCAGGTTTGATTCCCAGCATCCACATGATGGCTCACAACTGTCACAACAGATTTAGAGGAGTTAATGCCCTCCTCTGACCTCTGTATGCACATGGTGCACAAACATTCAGGAAAAACACTCATGAGCATAAATTAAAACAAGTAAATCTTAAGAAATTAAAATTGAGCTATGGGTATAGCTCCTGGGTTTTAGTTTAAACCACACTTTCTTTTTTTCTTTCTTATTTCTTTCCTTCCTTCCTTCCTTTTAAGTATATAGCACCAGCTATTCCCAGGTCATCTCCCATTCAAATACTAACAAACCTGACCCTGTTTAGCTTCCAAGGTCAGATTATTCAGGGGTGTGGTGGTGAGGGAAGTAAAAGCTACCGAACAAGAAGTGGGGAGCCAGGGAGATGCTGGTCAGAAGCAAGGTGACCCGAGGGCTGGAAAGTGGTCAGAGCTACTGGGATGGGTCACAGAGGAGGGACAGTGACATTAGAATTTAGTTAGATGAGTCAGGAGGCTGAGACTCCCCAAACAGGAGAGGAAGGACAGACACCAACTTTAGCTCAGTCTTCTCTTCTTGAAGAGAACCAGCAACTGCTTCACATGACACATGAAGAGTTGATGGTAAGGATGAGAATGTGGGGCTGGAGGGACGAGGATGTGGGGCTGGAGGGATGAGGATGCGGGGCTGGAGGGATGAGGATGCGGGGCTGAAGGTAAAAGGCCCCTCCTCACCAAGAAGTAGGTGCCAGACCACAGGTTATGGTAGCTGAATGCTAACAGTGTGAGCCACCTCCTCAGTGAGCACATAGATAGCTTCTAATATTTCCAAGCCGCTACCCTAGGAGGCTGGCAGCCATCACTTCATCTCGCCACAGACAGGGTAGATCTGTAAAGTGGGCTCAGAGTGAGAGGTGCTCTAGACCAAGGAGGCCGTGGCTAAGATAGACTTGTGGGTACTCGTGGGGCTGACACCCACAGAAGTTTGTCCCAGGGTCTAGAGGCACATGAATAGAGAAGTTACAGCAGGTGGGAGCCAGCACAGAGATGCAGGCGTGTTCCCCGAGGCTGCTCATCACCGACTGGCTGACCATAAAGAAAGCCCTTGACAAGTATGCTGCAGAGAGATGCTTCACCTGGTAAAGGGTTTGGCATGCAAGCATCCAGAACCTACAGATTAAAAGGCAGGCATGATGGTACACACTTGTAATTCTAGCACTAGGGAGGCAGAGAGGGGGGGGGGGAGTGGAGGGCTCCTGGAGCTTGCTGGCCAGTCAGTCTAACCCACTTAGCAAGCTCCAAGCCAGTCACAGATCCTGACCCCAAAACTAAGATAGACCATGCCTAAGGGGTGACAGTTACTGTCTCTGCCCCCCTCCCACCACACACATACACACTCACTCGAAGGAGCCCACTGGCATGGAACAGTGATGTCTGTGTCTGGACCACACTGATGCATTCAGGTCTCTAAATCCAGCTGTCCCTGAAGCTGAGATCCCAGCCACCTCCCTCTACCTCCACAATGTACTCTGCGACAGCTCCAACAAAGCCAATAAATCCCTTCAGCTTAGGCTCGACTGCGGGCATCTGTCACTTAGAACCAAAAAAGAACCCTGACTCAAATCCACCCGCCTGAGTGGCACGCTCCCCTGGGCATTCCCAGGCCACACACATCCCTGCACCTCCACAGGAAGGAAGTCTGGTAAGATGCTGTTGACAGAAACAAAAGCCTCTTCGACCCGGAGGATGCCCGGCCTCTAGTTTCCCTAACAGTCAACAGAACAATGGTCGCTGGCATTGAAGGTTACAGACTCTGTGTCGATTCCAGGCAGGAAAACCGAGAGACGGGACAAGTGACCTGCATGAGTCTCTTCAGGAATACTGAGAGAATGTGAACAACCTATCGTACTTCAGAGACTGACCTTTGAACTCTGTGTATTTTGCTCCGGCATCCAGATGTTGTGGTGAAAAGTCTTTAGGAGAGGGAAAAGTACCAAGAATACCAACATTTTATCTCCAAAAATAAATGACAAGCCTTAGCTTGGAGGGAGCCAACAGGCTTAATTAGACCTAATTCCCCCATCCTGCCTGCTGCCCTGCCACGGCATTTAAAAAAGATAATAGCGAAAATGAAGGGAGTCTGGGCGCAGAGCCTGAGAGCGAATAACCCTCGTAAGTTTCTCACTGGGGTGTGGAAAATGCCCTGGTACTGTCAGGGGAAAAGAGAAAGAAAGCCATAGGGGGACTTCAAACCTTTGATCAAAGATGAGACCATAGAGAAGAAGCCCAGCATCAGTGAGGGACTGAGTGAGTGAGGCCTCCACAGCCAGTCACTAAGGAAATGAGGGAAGTCTTCACGTGTAGGTTTCAAGCATGTTCAATCATTAAGAAAGGAAATCATGGGCTGGAGAGATGGCTCAGCAGTTAGATGGCTGCTCTTCCAGGAGTTCAGTTCCCAGCACCCACATGGCAGCTCACACCTGTCTATAACTCCAATTCCAGGGGATCTGACACCTTCACACCAATGCACATACACCAATGCACATACAGTTAAATAAACTGGGTTTGTTTTTTTTTTTTTTTTTTTTTTGCAAAAAAAGAAAGGAAATCATGACACCACTTGGTTCTCCTTTTAAAAAAAAATTCTTTATTATGTATACAGGTTTTCTGCCTGCATGTCTGCCTGCAGGCCATAAGAGAGCACCAGATCTCATTCTAGATGGTTGTGAGCCACCATGTGGGTGCTGGGAAATGAACCTGGGTTCTCTGGAAGAGCAGCTGGTGCTCTTAACCCCTGAACCATCTCTCCAGCCTCCTTCTTTTCTTAACTTACCTTTGTTAGGCTTTTTTGTCAGAGCAATGCGAATAGTAACTAATACACACAGTTATAGGCCATGCTTCTGTGGGTGATGTTTGGTGGAGGCCTGAAGATAAAGGAGGAATAACCCTCATTGAGGTCAACACTGGAGTAGAACTACATAGAATTCTACTAGCTAACAAAGAGCAGGAGCCAAAGTCTGGTGTCAGGCTTGGAAAGCTGAGATTGAGGCTCCACCAAAGCCTGTCTTGGTTTTCAGGAGCAAGGTGAGCCCAGGTGTCGGCTAAGGGTCAGTGAGGCTACAGGAGAGCCAGTGCTCCAAATATTTCTGCAAGGGAGGGAGAGATGACGGGTACCCAGGAGATAGACCCAGCCAGGGCGTGACGTGATGGGTACCCAGGAGATAGACCCAGCCAGGACGTGACGTGATGGGTACCCAGGAGATAGACCCAGCCAGGGCGTGACGTGATGGGTACACAGGAGATAAACTGAGCCAGGACGTGACGTGATAGGTACCCAGGAGACAGACCCAGTCACTTGGACTCAGCCATCTGAACATCTGAGTTTGGGAAGATGGACTTCGGATTCCAGGTACTTCCTAAAAGTCTGACGGGGAGAGAAAATGACGGGAACATTCAAGCACTGAACTCTGGCAGTCACTGCTTCCTGGCATACTATGGCCCGAAGACTCACTGGCAAGCTCAGAGCTTAGGAAACATCAGTTAGTAGAAGTCACACTGTGTGATTTGCTGGGTGAGCTGTGTTGCCTACAAAACCAGGATTAATCTTCAATATATGTGACTCTAGATCTTAACCCTCATTTGTAATCCTTCTATCATAAAGGAAAACAATGCTCTTTGCAATTTAAAAACCAAAGAGTGAGGTTAGGGATGTAGCTTAGTTGGTGAAATGCTTGCCTAGCATACATGAGATGCTGGTTTTGAGGCTCAGGTCTGTAAAAAACTTAGCATGGTGACGAATGTCTATAATCCCAGGATCCAGGATCCAGGCTGGGGGACCAAAAAGCCTGGGAACATCTTTGGCTACATGAGGAGTTCGAGACCAGTGTGGGATAGAGACCCTGCCTCAAAAAACTTGAGATGAGAGAGAAAGAAGAGGAACATTTATTTCCCCAAGCCTGTTATTAAGGTGGGCGCCTCCAGTCCTGATTGCTAGTGGAAATAGGAAAAACAAGTATGGGTTTTCTCAGGGGTGAGAAAATCCAGAGGAAGACAAGGAAGGGCAAGTCAGACATGTGGACCCATTCTGAGCCAGCAGCCTGAGCAGTGGGCAGTTGCCCTAATTATGCATCCAGAGGCCCGCAAAGCCAGTGGCTACCCTCCCACCTGACCCGTTCTGTATATCCCTGAAGACTGACTCTGCCCAAACTATACCGGGGACATGACTCTCATGGCCAAGGGAGCTATGTTGCGCTTGAAGATAATATAAACCGTGTCCCCTTCTATAAACTCCTTCTGTCTGTGGAGCTGGAGCCCCTCTAGACGGTGCGAGTGAGGGCGGGAGGGAGAGAGTGAACATCGAGGGTGAGAACCCAAGCAGAGAGGCTCCTGGAGGTTAGGACAGCTGGCGCTCTTCTCCACACTCGAGCACCTGGGCTTGGCTTAATGAAGCATGGCTGCTGTTTAGTAACGATCACGTGCTAAACAGCTGAGGCACGCTATACCCAAGCTCACAGCCCTACAGAATACACAGTGATTAGCCCCATCTTATAGGTAAGGAAGCAGAGAAGGGCAAGGTTAAGTGACTTGCCCCAAATTACCCTCCTTCCCAAGTGGTATTGCTATTAGACTCAAAGCCCGCGCTCCTGAACTACAAGGCATGCGCCCACACATGCATGTATACACACACTCACTCATACATGCACACCCACGACACACTTCACAGGCTAAGATGATGCCACCTGGACCCCTCTTCACCAGTCTCTTCCTCTGCCTTACCTCTGTGCTCACGGACCACACGAGGACCAGGACAAGACAAGGTCATCCCTGGGTGTCTCTGCCGTGATGCCGGAGATGCTGTGTATTGCTCAAAGGGAAGGGACAGTTGCGTTCTGGGTGACACAGGCTGTGGTCAGGCTTTTTGCCCCCACAAGGGCTGCCATTGAAGATGCAGGGTCAGGAGACAGGTGCTTCTCCCAGATTCCACTCCAAGCTACTGCACGGGCTTTCTCCCTGCAGGGGGGTGGGGTGGGGCTCCAGGGTCTTTGTGTAATCAACGCAAAACAGAAAGGAAGCCAACATCTGTGTTCTGTCCTCAGAGAGGAAAAGATGCTTTCCTCTCTCCTATACATACTTCTCTCATGCACACACACACCTCATACACACTCATTCATACACACACTTTTCTTACACACTCACACACATTTCTCTTATACACACTCACATACCTATACATATACACACTCTCACACACACCACACTTCTCTCTCATACACACATGACATACACTCACATACACACACTCATACACACAATTCACAAACACACTTCTCTCATACACACACACTCTCACACACTTCTCTCTCTCTCTCTCTCTCTCTCTCTCACACACACACACACACACACCATGCACTCACACCTTCCCCAGCCTCCTCTCTAGTTGCTTTGAGACGCCAGGCCAGGCGAGGCTGACATCCAAAGCAGCCAGACTCCATATCTGTGATAACATCAAAGAGATATATTCCTTTCATATGCTTGTCAATGTGTGTATAAGCCTAGAATAATGATTGTTTTCTCGGAGATGACTAGAGATTCTCGTTTTCCCTTTTATGTGTGTGTAAGGTGACGCCATGAGCGGTTCGCATGGACTGATCACACTGAAGCCCGTGACACCCCAGCATGCTGTTTATTCTGGCAGACACCCTCCTTTGCTCTCACGTGAGTTTGCGTCGGGGAGCTTCCCGTGTCGTGTGGCGGCCTGTGATGGCAGCGGAAGATGATAACCGAGCTCATTCGTGTGGTTGGTAGCAGGGGGAGCGGAATTACGCCAACCCTGTCTCTCCTTCCACACATATCCCCCTAGGCTGTGCTGTGCTTAACACCTGTGCCCTAGCGAGTTGTGTGTCTGTCTCCCGTGAAGAGCAAAGAGCATGCATCTAGCATAGTGCACCACAGAGAGTAACTGTTTGCCAAATAAGCGGTTTTTCAGGTCAACTGTAGAAAATGCTGATGAACCACATATGGTTGGAAAGTGGAGGCAGGAGCACCAGTTCGAGACCATCTTTGACTATATGGAGAATTCGAAGCCAGCCTGGACTGAATGAGACTGCGCCTCAGACAAGCAAACAAAGCCCTTGACGTGTGCACCTCCAACTACCTAGAAGCAGAAGTGTAGCTCTCCCCACACCCCCTTACATCCAGGCTAGCCTTGCCTTGCTTGGACTAATAGAACAGGACAAAGTGAAATGCGGTTTCCAAGCTGAAAATCTTTCTGCTGTGGAAATCCTGAGCCACAGATGAAGACAGGTTTAACCCTATGGCCCTAACTATTGAGATCAGGCTGCTCTCTGATCCAAGGTACTCCACACTGTGAAAACAAAGGTTTTCACAAAGGTTTTTCAGGCTGTGCCTTGCCCTGGGAGACTTCATTTGACAGCAGCATTTGACTCCACTCTGAGTGCAGGCACAGAGGTAGGATGTCCCTGCACCTTGGTGACAGCACATGAACAACGCTGTCCACCCAGCACCACCTGTAGGCGCAGACTGATGCACCGTTTATTCCTAAAATAAAAGGGGGCAAGCCACAAATTTTCCAAAGGAATTTAGATGAAGTAAATGCACGTGTATTAACATCATATCAGGAGAGCCAGACCCGAGAACTCAGCAGCCATGCAGACTAAGGGAATGATGCAGAACGCCAACCTGGATCCCCGAAAGAGAAGGATCATCTTGACAGCATCGAAGCCAGCAGACGGAGAGGCCATTCCCACAGACTGTCCTCCGTACCTGATGTCAGTCACAAACAGCAGCCACCCGGGTTTCAGAGTGCGCTGTAATCCAGTTCCCATAGCCTCATCAACAGGCTTGATTCCTTTGCTGGAGAACATTCGCGGAGCTCAGAGAAATGTTTGCTCCAGATGACCAGCCAGGTGGGAGGAGTGCACTGAGGAAGACATGTGGGAAGGGCGGGCAGAACCTCTCTGGACACTTCACCCTCAAGTCCCTCCACGTGTTCATCTCTTGAAAGGTCCCGCAACCCAGTCCCTTCCGGCTTTTATGAAAGTGTCATTTCATAGGCCTGATTGGTTGCAACACTGACCATCAGGGGTCAATAGAACTCGGGACTGAAGTTCCCAACCCTCTCAGGGTACCTTGGTTTTTCTGATGACCAGCTGTGAGACCCCCTAGCCACTAGGCATCTCATTGATACATAAAAGATGCTAGCAATTTAAAGTGTTGGTGGAGGGTTGGAGACTGGCTCTGGGGAACACAAAAACCAATGTGTTTTCACACCATCACACAGATATTGGTGTAAGGGAGTAGTGTTAAATCCTACTAGAACATCTTTTGTTACGGACCTTGGTACCATCCCTGGCATCTCCTACTGTAACCCCTTCATCCCCAGGCCTGTGAGCTTCACGGAAAAAATTGGAAAGAGAAACAGAGCGTGATGTAGAAAATAGCCAGGGTTTATTGCAAAGGGTAGGACAACATATTCTCAGGGGGTCAGCATGGACAATGACCAAAGGGACCATTATGGAGCAGAACACACCCATGGGGTTGCTGATAGACAACCATGTTGATCTACTTTTACATAGGCTTGGTACTATGTGTTTCTTTTTTGTTTGGTTGGTTCTGTTTTTTTGAGACAGGGTTTCTTTGTGTAGTTCTGGCTGTTCTGGAACTCGCTCTGTAAACCAGGCTGGCCTTAAACTCACCTGCCACTGCCTCCTAAGTGCTGGTATTAAAGGCGTGCACCATCACCACCCAGCGGTACTGTTTCTTAACGTCTCTAGAACAGACAGTCCAAGGACCATCTCCTTTCTAGAAGACTGACAGGCCCATTTGGATTAACACATGGTTGGGGATGATGGGATACCTTCTAGCTATGCAATTGTCTTAAAGCTTTCTATGCAATTTCCAATATCATGTCTTCACCTAGGACCAGAGATACAACTCAAACACTATTTTTTTTTTTTGACCAATAATCAGAGTCCTGCAGTTTCAATTCCTGATTCTACAACTATTGGCCTACAGTTCAACTATAGCCTCAATGACCTTCAAGGTTGCTAATAGCTACTGAATAACCCCTGATCAGGAGCTGAAATCCTGATATTGTTTAGGTGGTAGACAAGTCAATCTGGCTACTTACCCTCAAGTAAGGGCATCACTGTTGCTGATTCTTGGCCTTGGAAGATGATAAGGAAGGCCCAGGTAGATAGAATTAGAATGCTGCAGTCCTCTCCAAAGGTAGGTTGATAATTAAGAAAAAGAGATACAGTTACAACAGCAGTTAAGCACACAAAGTTCAGAGACTGACTGAAACGCCACTAAGTGCAGCCCATTCCCACCACAAATATTCGAGGTCCCGTTCTAAAGCAACACATCCAAGGGAATGGTGATGTCAGACTTGGCTTGGATCTGATTTTGTAGATCATGGAAAGTAGAAGAGACATCAATGGACACCAGGAATAAACACACAGCTTCTGTTTAAGGTTTGAATAAAGAAAGGCCCCCGTAGGCTCATGTATTTGAATTCTTGTGTTTCCCCCATTGATGGGGCAGTTTGGGAAGGTTATGAACCTTGGGAAGACAGATCTTTGTTGGAAGAAATATCTCAGCAGGGACAAGTTTTGAGGGTTTGTAGTCACTTTCTGACATTTCCCTACCCCGTCCCCCACACCCACCCCACTTCTTGTGTGGATAAGGACATTTGAGACAATTCCTGATTCTGCTGCCATGCCTGCCTGGTCATTCTGCACTCTCCCTCAAGATCCATCAGCCAAAATAAACTTTCCGTCTCCTTTAGTTGTGGTACTGCATCGGAGCAATAGATAAGTAACCATTACAACATTTAACAGTGATCTTCTGATCCTCCAGGTATGATAAAAATGGAAGCTGGGTGGCTATGCTAACAGAGAATGCTTTGAGTCCAGTAGTAGATAAATTAGCAGCACCACCTAAGGAGTTTATCTTGGGTGTATAAAAAGGCAGGAACAAGGGGCTGGAGACATGGCTCAGGGGTTAAGAGCACTGACTGCTCTTCTAGAGGTCCTGAGTTCAATTCCCAGCAATCACATGGTGGCTCACAACTACCTATAATGAGATCCGGTGCCCTCTTCTGGCCTACAGGCAGGATACTGTATAAATAAATAAATAAATAAATAAATAAATAAATAAATAAATAGGCAAGAACAAAAGACTGGCTAGAAACCAATGCACACAGCAAAGGGTGGCTTTTTTAAAAAATTTATTTAACTTTATTTTATGTGCATTGATGTGAAGGTGCCAAATCCCCTGGAACAGGAATTACAAGCAGTTGTGAGCTGCCATGTGGTTGCTGGGGACTGAACCCAGGTCCTCTGGTAGAACAGGCAGTGAGTGCCCTTAACCACTGAGCCATCTCTCCAGCTCCCAAAGGGTGGCTTTTTAATGAGAGAAAGGGAAACAGGAAATTTTTTTGTATTTTTCCTCTCATCTGAATACATTTTTAAGGTCACTTATTGTTGAATTTCTCAAGGGTCTACAGGAGATGTCCCAATAGAAAGGTCTCCTTTCCAAGGTTTAACTTGGGGAAGATGAGCCACCCGGCACCTTGAGGCCTTGATGGCTACCAGAGATGATAAAGTATTGGGAAAGGACTGAAAGGAAGCAGCATTTTGTCCTGAGGCCCTTCCCATAAAGTTGGAAACAGGTTTATCTTGTTTTCCAGATCGATTAGGCAGTCCCTATAGCCCACAGTTTTGATAGCTTGATAGAATTCATTGGGTCTAGAGACAAATTGGCTTAAAGATTGGACTTCATTATCTAGAAACAGATTTAAATGCATTTAAAAAAATCTATGCCCATAAAATTTCTCAAAGGGGCTTAGGCCAAGAGCTCTGAATAAAGACCTAAGGAGAATTACTGCAAGATAAGAATCTCCAGGCAAAATACAAGAGCTCTCTCTCTCTCCCTTTCTCTCTCCCTCTCTCTCTCTCCCTCCCTCTGTATGTGTCTGTGTGTTGTATACTAGTGTATATGTAGATGAGTTTATCAATGTATACATATTTGGAAACCACAGGTCAATGTTGGGTGCCTTATTCTTCGAGACAAGATCTCCCACTGAACTTGGTGCTCACTGATTTGCTAGACTGACTGGCCAGTGAGTCTCAGGGTTCCGCTTGTCCCTGCATCCTAGCAGGCAAGTTCCAAGAGCGCATCACTATGCCAGGTTGTTTATGTGGATGCCGGGGACGCAAACCCACATCCTCACGCTTGAGCTGTAAACACTTAGGCGTCTCCCCAACCCTGTGGTAGAGCTTTTCCGTGGATGACTTTGGGCTCTGATTAGCTTGTTTCTCCTTCCAGAGCATTGAGGTCTGCAAGAAAAATGAAGATAATATCTAATTCCCAGAGACTCAGCTAGATAATGAGGGGTCTGGGAAATTAAAGAAAGACCATTATCACTTTCCAGGGCTCTCAGGAGGGCAAATCAGGAATAATTTTAATGGCCTGCATTGCGGTAGCAGCACTGGGTGACTGGAAGGGACTTAAAAGTCTGTAACAGAGGGATTTTCTGGCTAGGGACTAAGCCTCACCCCGGCTTTAGACCTGAGAAAATAGTGTTTATGGCTAGGAAAAGCACGAGACTCCTTTAATCTGACCATGGTCACTGTGGCTGTGATCAGTTCCATCTGACGTACCAGGGGTCCATCCTTTGGGATGAGTGGAGGGATTTATAAAGTCAGAAACATTGTTTGTCTCTCTAGAAGAGGTGGCTGTGACTATATTTGGTTGAGGGTCCCCATGTTTGTCAATAGGTCTCTACCTGATAAAGGGCGGTCTCTTCCAGGCAGACATTACTAGATATGTAGAAATGGATAATAAAGTTTCCAAGCTTGAGAAGATAGCCCATACTGTAAAATGTTCGCCATGTAGGATTGTTTGAATGAGGAATGCCCCTCTAGGCTTATATTGTTGAACACATGGTCCCCAGTTGGAGGTTAGAAAGGCTTAGAAGGTTCTAGAGCCTTGAGGAAGTGGCACCCCACTGAAGGAAGTATGTCACTGCGGGCAGAGTTGGAAAGTTAATAGCTTGCCCCACTTCCTGTCCCCCTGCCTTGCTTCCTGTGTGCTGATGAAATGTGATCTCTCTGCTTCCTGGCTACCAGGTTGACTTCTGTCTCCTGCTACCAGGCCCTTCCCTGTCAGGAGCCGTTTTTCCTTCCAAAAATCATTACATTCCTTCCAAAACTCATTACAGGAACCATCGCCCTAGGGAGTCTGCAGAGAACCCCACACCCATAATTATGTTAAGAATAGTTCTATTGACAAAACCTGCCCCACACCCAATTAAGCTGTTAATTGAGAACTATCTGTTAGCAGAACCCGCCTCACATTCCAGCTATCCAGGGAACTAGGTGTAGCAACTCGTGACTCCTTGGCCTAAGTGACCTGACCAAATGTAACCTCCTGGCCTATGTGAGGAACCTGAACCACGTGACCTGGACCACGCAGAGGCGAGATCCCGTGCCCCTGCCCCCAAGCACCTCATCCAGGGGCTATATAAGCAGCAACCAGGACTCTAATAAACGAAGGCTATGACAAACTTAGCATGGCTTCCTCCTTCTTTCCTAGCCCATTCTCTTCCAGATAGCACCCCTCCGTGACCCTGGAGTAACTGATTGCAGGGTGGGTTACAACCCCTAGACTAAGTGACCCACCCAAGGCAATCGACACTTCCCCACTATGATGGGCTCCAATCCTCTGGAACTGTAAGCTAAAATAAACCCTGGTTTATTCAGGAAGACCCTGAAGTTGCTTTTGGTCAAGGTATTTATTCTGTCACAGCAAATTTTAAAAAGGTAACTAATATATATGCAAACATGAAGACTTGAGCTCAGTCACCAACACTCATATGTGATGACACACAGCTGTAATCCAGCAGCACTCGTGTGTAAACACACAGCTATAATCCAAGGAGCACTCATGTGTAAACACACAGCTAGAATCCCAGCAGCAGTCACGTGTGATGACACACACCTGCAACCCTAGCAGCACTGGAAATGTGGAAATAGGAGGATCCCTGGAATATTCTGGTCAGCTAGTCTCGTTGAATTTGTGAGTTCCAGGTTCAGGGAGAAACTGTAAAAAAGTTATAAATTTTCAATACATAGCATAAAGGTAAAGTGAAATTTTTCATCCTGGAATCCCACTGATAGCAGTAATAAAAGTCAGAGTAATAAAAGTCAGTTGTCTGGAGTATGAGGTGATGACAGAGGAAGAGGCCCTAGTATCAAGAGACTTTTACACTATAAGGTTTGCTCAAGGTTTTATCACCACCGTTGGTGGTGATGGTCAAGTCAGGAGGCAATCAAGAGCTTACTGATTCCAGGAA